TATCAGCACACCAACCCCACCCCCCCCCACACCCACAGCACGTATGGAATCCACCCCCCAACCAATTAAGGGTGGAATGGTTTGAGCAAACCACTGGCCTAAACAAAGGCAACACAAAATAATTTAATCGGAGAGTGAACGGTCGGGGGTGCAGAAATCAGAGCAAAGGCTGAAGCCGAATCGGTGCGGTAAAATTCTGTTCTTGACGCTTGTTTAAAGAAACCTAGAGTTCTTCTGATTTGGCCACCTTATAAATACGATTACTGTTCCTGGGTCCTAATGCAGAAAGGATTCCAGTCTCATTGAACAGTTTTGATTCGCTTAAGAAATCGATTCTGCTGCAGTACGTACACTCTTTAAAAGAAGCCAATTTTGCATGATGCGTACCCTCAAAGTAACCTCCTTCTCTCATAATAACCATGAGGAATGTGGCGTCCTTGGGGTTCTCTGGGCTGGGTTCTTTTCTTGCAAACGTTTCGTTACCCGGCTAGGTAACATCTTCAGTGCTAGAAGGGAGGGGGGTTTGCTCTCTGTTTATGTACAGTGGCCTGCCCTGCCAGTGTTTGTGGGGGTGTTTTTTGGTTTTTTTTGAGGAATGCCTCTTTCCACTTCTCGCTTCCCACTTCAGTAACTACTCTGTCCTGAACATTCATTTAATCCATGTATTTCAAAAGAATCTGGTTGCTGAATGAACTGGAGAGGGATTTTATTTTAGTTTTTGTTTTTTAAGCTGCCTTAATTTAAGGCTTCTCCAATTTGAGGCCTTCTGGGTTGATAGGATTTTGACTCCCATTGTCCACAGCCAGTGGGGACCTTGGAGGTTGTCCAGATAATCCTCACTTAACAACTATTCATTTAATGACTGTTCAAAGTTACAGTGGTGCTGAACAAAGGGACTTACAACTGGTCCTCACACAACCATTGCAGCACCCCTGCGGTCACGTGATCGCAATCCAGGTGCTTAGCAACCAGCTCACACTTATGACGGTTGCAGCGTCCCAGGGTCATGAGATTGTCATTTGCGACCTTCCCAGCCGGCTTCCGGCAAGCAAAATCAGTGGGGAACTATGTGATTCGCTTAACGACCACTGCAGAAAAGGTTGTAAAATTGGGCACAACTCGCTCAACAACCACCCTGCTTAATTTCCGGTCCTTATTATGGTCGTTAAGCGAGGACTACCTGTAATCCCACATATTTGGAGGGGAAAACGGGCACAGCCCATTCACCAACCCACTTGTGCTGATGTCATTGTTAGAGTGATGCAACAAGCTTCTCATAGCTGCTCATAGTCTGAGTTGTGATCCAAAAATGGAGCACTGGAGGAGGGTGGGGGAATCAAGCATTATAAAGATAATTCCTTTCTTGCTTTGCACTCTGTTACTGCATTTCGGTTCCATCGTGTGTTTTTATTCCCCTTCCTTTCTTCTTGTCTGCCCTTCCAGTTGAAACTGTGGAACAAATTCCGGGTTTCCAACATCCCCTCGCTGATATTTATAGATGCCAACACTGGAAAAGTGGTTTGCCGGAACGGCCTGTTGGTTATCCGAGATGACCCAGAAGGTAAGAGGAAAGATGGCGTGTTCTTTTGGTCGGGCGAACGTTCTTCCCACCCATCCAGGTCATTTCCCGTTGTTAACCAAAGTCGCCCCTTTTCCCATCACTCAGCAAAGAGGGAGGCAGGGGGATGTTTTGAACCAACCCATCTTCAAAATCTCCTCGAGCTGCTTGAGGTGAGCAGAACCTTCTTTCTCCAAAGAGCTGATAAAAAGGAGAGCAGCTTGAACGAATCCGAAGGGACGGTGGACGGATTGGGGGGAAAAATTCAGAAATGGTTGTTTTGCTATTATTGATGCCTTTTCTCACTCTTTCTGCATTGAATCAATAGCTTAAACTGGTGTTTCTCAACCTTGGCCGCTTTAAGACGGGTGGACTTCAACTCCCAGAATTCCCCACCCCCCCGTGGGGTCGGGGGGGGCTGTGGGGGGTGTAGGGCCTCCGCCGTTGAAAGGCCCGGGGGCGGAGAGACACGATTAAGGATGTAATAA